CCGTGGCCGCCGTCGCCGCCGCCACTGCCGCCTGTCGCGAAGGCTGGCATCGCCGAGCCCCTGCGCGGGGGGCTGCCGCCAGAGCGCTGATTGACAGGCTGCCTCGCCAATGCCTGGAGGGAGAAAGGAGGTAAAGAGCAAGTGTTTAGGGTAATATCTGCTAATGATAATGGGGGCGGAGGCGGAGCCTGGCGCCGCCGCTGCTGCCCGCGTGGTCGCCCGGTCGAGTGTGCGCCTCCGACGGGGGGCAGGGAAGGGATAAGCCGGGACCCGGAGGGCGCGCTGGTAACAGCGCGAGGTTCCAGCCGGGACGAGACTTCGGAGCGGCAGATGTGCTGCTGTGGGCGGGGTCCAGTTTCAGGAAGGAGCTCTTGGCGCCCCCTGCATGACCCCAAACTCTCGGGGCCGCACTGAGGGACTGGTAGTAGTTGGGACGGGGCGGGGTAGCTGGAGTGCGTGTATGCCTCGGGTAGATGTTACAGCCCGTTCTTCTGCCGGTCAGGAATTGCTCCCCCGACCTTCTGAAAACAATACCTAGACGGCCTTGACCCAGGTCGCTGCGAGTTGTTTGCGCGCCCAGGGGTTTCTGCCTATACCCAGCTCGTAGCCTTCCAGCTCATACTGTCATAGGAGCACACAAGGAATTGGGGTTTCACATTATTTGGTTAGTTTACTATGGGGTACGGAGAGGGCATGATAGAATTAGTTTCCCCATTCTACAGATGAGAAAACCAAGGCACTTCAAGGGTATTGCCCAAAGTCATATACTCAAGTGTATGGCTGAGTTGTACAGATGTACCCAGGTATTCAAATTCTCACTTCTTGTAGCAGGTAGACCTCCGTGCAATTGAGGGAAAAACATGACCTGATATCTCCTTTGGGGATGGTGACCCTCAGCAATGTCATTTGATATATATGTGTATGTGCTTGTAGGACCAAGATAGTATGAACGCTCTTGCTTCCAGCGTTGCCCAGACAGTTCCTCAGTGCATCTAGGACCACCAGGCCAGGGTTTCTGGAGGACGCACAATTTCAGCAGTTGTTTGAATGAGGGAAGAGCCTCTGTGGTTTGGAGGAGGATCCCATGGGCTAGAGATGTCTTCAAATCTCGTCGTGGATTGTCCTGCCTTCTCCCAGCCACTCTTGGGAGCAAATCACCCCTCCCCTAGGGCAACTCCAAAACCAGCACACTCCCTCCCAGGTTTGGTTTTCAAGCCTTCAATCTTCATTCTCCACGTTCAGATTTTGGGTGCTTGGCTTCCTCAATGCCTGACCATCATCTTTCCTCTCTGAAGTTAGATTCCTTTCCAGAGCTTTCCTTTTACTCTTGGGAAGGTGACCTGTTTTCTTCTTCCGAGGGTTCAGGACCTTGGCCTCTCATTTGCCAGATCCCCCTTCCTTTGGAAGCCTCTCTCCTTGCAGATCAGCTTCTGTGTTTCTCCACCCTAGATAGTATCTCTCTCTCCTTCTGCCTCCTCAGATGGTGCTCCGCACCCCCCCTCCATTTATTAGAGATGAAATAAATAATGCCATAAATAAAAGTATTTGGGAGTCCAGGAACTGTCAGGGCTGATTAGGGCATAGAGGACATTTTCTTTCTCATTATGCAAAAGCATTTCATGGGGAAATAAAAGAGGTTTCATTGTAACTCATGCATGTCATATTTCAAGGAATTCAAGATATTAATCATATTTAACATTATTTGCAGCATTTCTCCCTGGCTTCTGAAAACTGCTAAATGAGGACACGTGGATCACTAAGAAAAAGAGAGACAAGCATGAGAGGGACAGTTAAGAAATAATGAAATGCTGGTGAAAGACAAGGAGAGAGAATGAGATGCCAGGGAGATGTTTCTTAGGCATGTAAGTGAGAAATGGGGTAGCTTCTTCTGAGACGTGAGACAGCTGAAATTGAATGATATAGTGGAGGAAATAAATGATAACAAACCTCCCCACACTTCTCCTTCTATAAAGCAGTTCTGAATTTTGCATTGAAATGTTTCCCTCCCACTTTCCTCCCAGATAATTTGCCAATAAGTCCTGGCTTTTGAAAAGAAATTGGGGGGTGGCAGTTTGTGTGTGTGTGTTGCGGGGGTTAGAGAGGAGAAATTCTTCAGTCCTACTGAAGAAGTAATTTCTTATACCTGGGAGCTTTCTCTTTTGCTTATGTATTTTTAATTTGTATCATCCTCACCATTTAAACACCGTATGAGACTGGGAACAGTAATTCTGTTGTTATATTTTACCAGCGAGAAGGACCTGCCATCCTGTATGTCAAAAAGTGAATGTTTCTATAAAACTGAACGGTAAAATGAGTGGTTTAGCTAAGAAAATAAAAAGAGGTCCTAGAGGAAAAATGTTAGAATTTTTTAAATGACCAGCTTTTAGATTCTCATGCTAGCAGTCACCTATGTCTGGGTTCATAGAAAAATGAAGTGCTCAATAATCACTCTTTAGAAAATAAAGCTGGCATTTACTCCTAAGTGTGGAGTTGAACTCAGTTTTTAAATTGTAACTGACCACTACTCCCTGCCTGGGGTTGTACTTAGCTAAGTATTGTACGTAAATGTAATGTATTGAAGTGTTTATAAAATCACTGGTAGCACTTCGTCAGCATCTTGCTGTAAATTATAGTCCAGATGATCAGATGGTGGCTTTTGTTGATATCTTCTCTTTAGGGTCTCATAGGGGCTGACAGGATGGTAATTACACCCATGCTTTAAATCTTTTTAGATATTTACTCTTATCTCCAAAAAAAAAAAAAAAGGTAGTGAGCTTTTAAAAGCCTAGTGGCTATTTATGGACTGGGTGATTTTTTTGATTGGCAGCTTGTCAATTCCTTGAGCCATCCAGAATATAGCTTTTAAATAATAAGTCAGCCATGGGAAATGCTTTTTATTGCACCAATTTCAATGATATTTAATGAGCTTCTGATTGACTGTTTGATCTCCCAATGTTTTGTGCTACTTTTAATTCATTTCGTATAATAGGAAAAAAAAGTAATTGGAATAAAATTTTGTGACAAGATAATGACCTTCCACTTTGAAATTAAATGTCTGATTAGCTTCAACATTTTAATGCTGAGATGCTATTGCAGCAGGAACAGGGGTGTGCATACTATCATTCGGTGGAAAATGACTGAGGAATACTCCTTTGCTTTTCCTATTTGCATAGCAGAAAGGTCACGGTGGCTTCAGAATCATAAACTCGTAGTCCTAGAAGGGACCAAAGTGATCTTTTATTCTTGTGACTGAGCCTATGCCCATGGCTTTTCTAGGACCCTGCCAAGTGGTTGTACAAATGATGCTTAAATACCACCTTCAGTCATGGGGACCTCGCTGCTTCTGGAAGCATTGTTCACCCAGGGATTTATTCAACAAGTATTTATTGAGTGCCTACTGTGTGCTAGGGACCTTTCTAAACACTGGAGGATATAGTGAAGGCAAATTCCAGGATCCTACTAATATAGATTTGGGGTGGGTAGATAATAAACAAATGAACCAGGAACTAACAGAACAATATTAGTATATTTATATAACAAACACAGATTTATAAAATATGTGATAAATATAGTATGCTTATGTAATAAACATGCTATAATATTTAAAATGATAATATAAAACATAATAATGCTATTATTATTATTATTATTATTATTATTATTTCAGATAGAAATAATTATGATGGAAAAAATGGAGTGGAAATGTTACTTTTGATAGAGTGATTGAGAAGACCTCTCTGACGTGGAACAATTGAGCTGAGAGGTTGTTTGTGAAAAAGAGCAGTGGTTGACAAGAGCAGTCCGGGCCGAGGGACAACAGGCGTAGAAGCCATAAGGTGGGAACAAGCTTGATGTTCTCAGGGAGCTGAAGGACGGGCGGGCAGTCGGAGAGTCCTGGCAAGAGGCAGAGTGAGGAGATGAGGCCGGAGAGGCAGGCGGGGCCCTGGCTGGGCAGGGCCTTGTCCATCTGGGGAAACGTTTGAGCTTCATCCTAAAAGCAGTGGGAAGCTTGGAGGCAGTTAAGCTGGTGAGTGACATGACCAGATTTATGTTCTTAAAAGAAAATTTTCACAAAAGGTAAAATCATGATTCCCATACATAAAAATGAACAGATGTTAAAGATTTTATTTAATTTGCTCAGTGTCAGATGACAATTTGGCGTGGGATAACGGAATATTGAATTGAATGTGTAAATGGTTTTTTCGTGTGTAAGCTGGTTTTCCCGTGGCAGGTGTGTGTGAGAGCGGGAAGGAAACCTCTACCAGGCAGGATGGTTTGCACATCTATCTGTTCAGATAATCGAGGAGGGTGTGCTGTATGTAGACAAGGCATAGTTTTCCAGTGAAACACAATTTCTTTCCTACAGTGCTTTAAAAAAAAACTTTTTATTTTGAATGAGTTACAGGTTCTAAACTTATTATTTTGAAATACGGACTTGTAGGAAGTTGCAAAGATCGTGCAGAGAGGTCCCAGGTACCCTTCACCCATTTCCTCCCATGGGCACATTTCATGTAACTATAGTTATGTAAGTGGAATCATGCAATATGTGGTCTTTTGAGGTTTTTCCACTTAAACTTAATGCCCTTGAAATCCATCCATGTTGTTGTATCAATAGTTTGGTCCTTTTCATTGTTGAGTAGTATTCCACAGTGGATATCCCACTGTTCAACCATTCACATGTTGTAGAACATTTTGGTTGCTTCAAGTTTGGGACTATTGCAAAAAAGGTGCTCTGAATAGCCAGGGACAGGTTTTTGTGTGGATGTAAGTTTTATTTCTCTGGGAGTAAATGTCCAGGAGTCTATTCCTGGGTCCTTCTGTAATATTTTACAAGATTCATTCTGCTTGGTGGACAATAGACTGCAGAGGTTCAGACTAGCAGCAGGGAGATTGTTTTTAAACAGTGTCCGAGTAACCCTTTCCCAATACAGTCGTGTCTCTCTGCTGCCCTCCATTGTCTTCCTCTTCATTAGAGTACAATTCAAAGCCATGTAGTTGCCTACTTAAGGCCCCTCGGAATCTACAATTACCCCTTGCCTCTGGGACCTCATTTCTTCCGTTCCCTTCCTCACTCCACTCCTGCCTCGTTGGCCCTGAACAGGCCCCAAATGTCCTGCCTCAGGATTCTTACTCTCAAGTTTCCTTCTACTTAAAATGTTCTTTCTGCAGATGCCTACATTACTCCCTACCTTATCTCTTCCCAGTCTTTGCTCTAGTATTGCTCTTTCAGTGAGGCCTTCACTAATCACCCTATTTACAATTGCAACCCAGCCTCCCCTCCCCCATACTCCTTATCTCCCTTTCTATCCAGCGCCTATCACCGTCTGCCATGCTATATACTGTACATTGTACAGTCAGCCCTCCAGATCCTTGGGTTCCGCATTTGCAATTTTAACCAACCAAGGATTGAATTTTGAAATTCGATCTTCTGATACCAAGGGCTGACTGTATTATGCCATTCTGTGTAGTGACTTAAGCAGCCATTTTATGTAGGGTCCTGAGCAGCCGTTTTGTATAGGGTCTTGAACAGCCATTCTGTGTGGGGGCACTTGAGCAGCCATTTTGTGTAAGGTCCTGAGCAGCCATTTTGTGTGAGGGTCCTGAGTAGCCATGTTGTGGAGGGTCTTGAGCAGCCATTTTCTGTGGGAGTCTTGAGCAGCCATTTTGTGTGGGGGTCTTGAGCAGCCATTTTGTGTAGGGGTCTGGAGAATCGGAGGATCTTGGTATCCACAAGAGGTCCTGGAACCAATGCTGAGGAGTGACTGCACATATTTATTGTGTTTCCTGTAATTAGAAACTCCTTGAGGACAGGGACTTTTGTCTATCCTGCACCTTGAGTTTGTAGCATCTGAAATGGCACCTTGCTCAGAGTAGAGGCTCAATGAACATTTGTTGGATGAATGAATGACTTTTGGAGCCTCTGGTGTAGCAAAAATGAGAGCTGAGGCTGCCTGGACCAGTGTGGCATAGTTTTGATGGAGCAAGGTAGATAAATGCAGAATATATTCAGGCAGGTTTTCAGGACTTTTTGAAATAGATTCAGCCTTTTAAACAGTAGAAAAGGACAGTCATCTTTGATCTAATTACTATTTTTCTCACTAATAGGATTCTATATTCATTAGGACTCTTTCAGTACCAAGTGACAGAAACCCAATGCAAATGGATTAAATAAAGATGTTTATGGCTCACAAGACCCTGAAAACTGGAGGTATATCTGGTATAGCGCAGGGATGAGAGCTCATATGGTGTTATTAGGAACCTACCTCTCTCCATTTCTCGCCTGCAGTTTTTTGTGTATTGATTCATTCTCTGGCAGCCTCTTGCTTTGTGGTGTTCATCTGACCACGAGCAGTTGTCACCTGTGTGAAAAGAGAGCACCTCTTTCCCTTCAGCTCCAAGACAATACCAGCATTGACTATTATTGTCTAATTGGGTCATGATAATGGATTCGTTTATTTGTTTGTTGGTCCTTCCAATGTTATGATGTTGGGACTATTTCCCTTAAAGTGAAGAGAACTAGAGAACAAGGAATTGAAGAAATTTCCCCAAAGTCACAAAACAAATCATTGAAGAGTTTAACTCAAGTCAAGATTCTATTTGATCAAAGCAGCAAATATAACTTGTCAAGCTTAGTAAATTTAATCTTTTAGTCTCTATTTTTCACTTCCCTTCAATTTCTAAAAGAGCATTCCTCCCAAGGAGCTGAAAGCACCCTGGAGAGAAGTATGAACTTGAGAAATATATGAGAATAAAGTTGGGCATTAAAGCCAGGAGGGAAGAAAAAAGGAACAAGTCATTAAGAGAAAGTTGATGAGATGTAGTTATGTTAAGTTGAACTGTGGTGTTTTCGTTTCCAGGTAGAGTTTTCAGTCTCCACCATCAAGATCAATTTCCATTCTGCCTTCTCTTAATTTCTTTATATGAGTACTGTATTGCAACAGGAAACCATCAGTTCCTAACGGTAATTAGTGTTTAAGCCAGCGTTTTATTCCATGGTGCCACAAGAGGACCAGCTTCCATGGAGAAGGTTCGAAATGAGCCAGTGAAATACAATCTTTAATACTGGCAACTTAAGGTTTTGCAACATCACGTATTGTACACTTTACAGGAATTTTTACAAATTAATTCATGCCATATGTCACCAACCAAAAAAGCAACTGGATTTGACTGTTGTCTTGGTTGCCTGGTGTATTTCATGATTTACTAACAAAATTCTCTAAGTACTTACTTTTGAAAACCAATAGAAATATGTTTCTACTGAACAAAAATGTAATAACTTTATTGCTGACTTCTGTGATGTCCAAGCAGCTAGGCTTTTTGTGTCAGTTTTCTAGACTAGGAAAGAGGAATGTTTTGTTTTGTTTTGTTTTGTTTTTTGTCCTCTTCTTTTGTCTTCAAAAAGCAGCCGGTAATAAACTTCATGTGTCACGTGAGTATCAGCAAGAATCCTTTAACTTATTGTTTTCAGGTTAGTCAAACTTCTGAGTCTTTCCCCTGCCCCTGCAGGCAGCTTCAAAGGTGAGCGATTACAGAATCATAGGCTTTGCTTTTCTGTAAGGGATATATTAGTTTCCTAGGACTTCATACCAGGGTACTGCAAACTAGGGGCTTAAACCACAGAAATTCATTGTCTCATAGTTCTGGAGGCTAAAAGTCCAGGATCAAGGTGTCAGCTGGACTGGTTTCCTTCTGAAGAGCTGTGAGGAAGGCTCTGTCCCATGATTCTCCCCTAGCTGGTGGCTGGCTTGCTAGCAGTCTCTGGCGTTCCTTGGTTTGCAGAAGCATCGCCCCCATCTCTGCCTTCATCGTCCCATGGCCTTCTCCCTGTGTGCCTGTCTGTGCCCAAATTTCTGTTTGTGGTACTCTCTGACTGCAGCTCTACCAAACTAATACATTTGCCATATAGGTGGATTATATGATAATCTCTAGTAACCAAATGACAGAAAGGTCAAATGTTTGATTTTTTTTTCAAAACAAGTCTACCAGAACTTGTCTGACTTAATATACATCAACAGAAGGCTTAATTGCACACAGCCAACATGCACACTTGGGCACAAACAATGGTTTCCTGCCAGGCTACAGATCACAAGGCCAATGTGAAAGTGATGTTAAGAACAGAGACCTTTACAGTATGCTGTAATGAATTCAAGCACATCCCAGGAAATGCTGAAGGAGAGTAACACAGGGAAAATACCTCTATGCCTTCTCCACTCCCAAAGGCATGGTCAGAGAACAAGTTGAATCAAACATAAAAAATTATTAAAAGCACATATAAATGTATTTTTAGTCAGCCAATCTTAACCTTGGCTGACTTAACCTTGGTTGGGAGAATTTTGAAAAATACAGTTGCCCAGATCTTTCCTTAGACCCGTTAAAAAGAGTCTCTGGGATGGGACTTTTGCTTTGTTGGTTTAAGAAACTCTTCGTATGGTTTGAATATACAGCTATCTTGAGACCCACTGATTGAAGCAATGGCAATGTTACTAGAATGAAACACATCATGGCATCAAGGTAACCACATGGAAGATCAGTACACACTGGGATGCCTGAGCATTCTGCTGTTAATGAGCAAGCAGGATATCTCCCTGTCTCCCAAAAGACGGACAAAGTTTCTCCCATTAGAGGGCACTCACATAAGCCTGGAGTCCGGGGTAAGTGGGTGTTAAAAAAAAAAAAAGGAAAGAAATGGATTGAATGCAGAAAATGATTGAGACTAGCAAGATAACAGGTTTATTGGGTGCAGAAGAAACTCAGTCCTTTGTAAGAGGGGAAAATACATTCAACTCAGACAGTCACGACCTCTGTGAGAGGTCAAGACAGTGATTTAAACTTTTAGTCTTTTATATTATGACTCTTGGTGCAAGAGACAGAAATCCAACTCGGGCCAGATTAAGCACAAAGGGAAATTTATTGGTTTCTTCAACTCAGAAGGATGCTACGATATCTCCCAGGAAGGGTGACAGGATT